TTTTTTTTTTCGGCCTTGCCTAGCGATCTGTGCTTGGACAATGGACACCTTGATTACTCAATCGTACTTTTGAGATCCATCTGAATTTTATCTCTTTACGTCTAATGTTAATTGCGACATGATTTGTTTTTTACTTAATTTTCATTTATCGTTGATTTTTCTTTGCGTTTTATATCTGAAGAGGGCTCAATCTTGTAGCCGAAACTTGTTATATTTTTACACATGTTTATACATTTACACATTTATATATGCCGTTCCGTGCGCATGTATCGTCGCATAATAATTTAATCAATTAAATGTTTTGTTTTTCTCTTTGTAATCTACTGACTCTTCTTTCGCCGTGTATTTGTTTGATTATTTACGTTTATATTTAAGAGTCTTTACATCGTTATTATGTATCGAAAAATAAATTATAAAAAAATAAAAATTGAGCGTATTTAAAATAAGCTCTATAAAGCTAGCAGGAGATCAATAGAACCCAATCAATAGAATCAAATCGGATTTATCGAAATTTTTAACACTCATTTTGTATTAAATTGTACTATTAATAATAATTTTTGTACCGTGTGCCATTTCGAAAAAAATTGTGGCAGTTAATATTAAGCTGGCAGGACCAATTCAAAATAAAAGAAAAAAACAAAAATAATATCAAAAATTAATAGGATTGAATTTTTACTATTTTATACTGCCAAAAACAATTCTATATTATGTGTCATTTCCAAGAAAACAATGGCGCTGTTAATTTAATATTTAAGCTGGTAGGATCATAGAAAAAACACAAGAATAAAAATTAACATAACTGAATGTGTACTAATTTGTATCATTGAAAGTAAGAGTTAATATTTTACATTTTTCTTCTTAAAATGACTTTATTAGTTACACTTTATGTGAAGCATTCCACATCAAACAGTGCAACTTACAAGTGTCAATAACTTCACAAAAAAAGATCTCACATTTTTCTCGCGAAATATGTGTCTCATATTTTTATCTGTAGAATATGTTAGCAATTTAAAAAAAAATAAAAATGACGATATTTCAAAGGTGCATGGTTTGACGTGGAATGCCTCATAGATTGTACACTGAAAAAAAAAATTAATTTCAAAGATTACAAAATAAAAAGCATAAAAAAATTTAAAATTTAATTTCAAAGAAATGTTTCTTTGCTTGTATTCAAAAAAATTATTTCTTTGGATCAATGAAAATTTTATTGAAAATAAGGTATTGTACATTAAGATATTTTTTTTCCAGTGTATGTTTATACCAATAAAGTCATTTTATGCAGGAAACGTGAAAAAAATATTAACTTACTTTCAATGGTAGAAATTAGTACAAGTTCAGTTGTTAATTTTGCCCTTGTATTTTTGTTTTTTAAATTGCTAACATATGGTCCTGCCAGCTTAAATATTAAACTAGCAGCGCCACTGTTTTCTTGGGAATGATACACGATACAAAATTATCGTTAATGATACAATTTATTAGTACAAAATAAGTACTAATTTCCGATAGATCTGATTTGGTTCTACTAGTTTTATTTTTATAGAGTTTTTAAGATATTAGTATTGTAATAGACTTTAGAATTATATATTGTAAGCGGAATAGTTTCGACTTTATTCGTCAGTCTTCATCAGCCGCATTATAATAAACGAAATTACAAAAATCGAAAAATGACATCAAAGATTCAAAATATATCATTGTTGCAATAAAGTAATATTAGAATCAAATGTTGTCATCCTTTCTTCTATGTGACAGGATCTATGTCGGTGTCTAATACAGTATTTCTTTCCTAGGGTCTTTCCTTCGTTAACAATTTTATTTTCTATATTTCTTATTATTCTTCAATACGCTTTCATGACTGAATTTGTCATAATAAATATTCGCCAGACAATAAATTAAAAGAATTAAAAGTTATAAGTCCACAGGATCAAACTGTACATCGCTCGTAATTGTCA